AAACTATAGAAACAATGCAAGGGAGAAGAAAGAAGATGGGTAAAACATCATCCTACACCATCATAGGGAGAAACATGGGGGAGAAATGGATGCCCATGCAAACGTGGGTATACACTCAGCAAATGCTACCTCCTCTTTGTGGCCCAGCTCAAGTCATCCAGAAAGCTCCCTCTAAGTAACAAAATTCTTACCAATCCTGCTCAATCAGGAATGCCCAACAGCCCTTAGAATCTGCCTCAGTGGCACAACTGACCGTTTAATCACTTCCTTTCAAGACTCATTCTCTAATTAGTTCACGTGTGTTAGTTTTGTCTGTCCAAAAACATCCTAAGCTTCTTTAAGAGCAGAAACCAGGTCTTCTTCTGTTGTCTCCCCAGTAATGTGAGCCCAGGGTAAGTTTTAGTCAACCTTGGTTTGCTCATTATCATTTGGTCCTTCTAAGAACATTTATTAGGTACTTGTTATGTGCTGGGCACTGTATTAGGCACTGGCATATTAACAGGAGTGAAATGGTCCCTGCTTTCAAGTGATACACATACACACATATATTTATATGTATATATGTACACACATACATACATACAAACATATGTATACACATACGTATACATACATATCTGTATTCCATTTCACTATTGCCAGATATACCTATGTGTGTGTATTTACATATATACACACACATTCATACAATATATACAATATTTATATATTTGTGAATATGTTTTATATATCACAAACATATCCAAGGTATACATGTATATGGATAAACATGCTATAGTCACACACAGTAACTTCTGAGTCCCTGCTCTTTACATTCATTTACATTTACATCATTTACATTCTCATGGGAGAGATGATATATAAGTAAATGTGTATGTGTGTATCTATATACCCATACCATATATACAGAAATATGTATCTTATAAGTATATATACTTGTAAATATATGTACTTATAAATATGAATATATATACTTATATGCATATATGTGTCTGTGTTTAGTGTGTTTATCCATATATATGTATATACCTTGTGTATGTGTATATATAAACCTATAAATGTCAATAGGTATATACACGTATAGATAAATTTACACAATAAAGCCATAAAAGGAAACTCTGGGTGGGGAGAGGCACGACCTGGCAGTCATAGGGGGACTAAGACAGTACTTATACAAAAGCGTAAGCCTTGAAGGAAACCTGGGATTCCAAGAGTGCCCCTGAGGGTAGAGTATATTCTAGGTCTGGGGGGATAGTCACTTCAAAGGCACAGGGACAGCAAATGGAGTGTCATGGATGAGGAACAGCACCAAGGCCATCTTGACTAGACCACAGAGTGGCACCATGGAGGGAACGGTGCCAAATTAGGAGCCAGTGGAAGTCACTGAGGAAGGGGGCGACATGGTCATACCCATGGCTGCTGTGTGGAGGATGGGTTGGAATGGGGAGTAACTTAAAGCATGAAGACCAATTAGAAAGCTATTGTAATAGTTTAGGTGATTAGGTCCTTAAGAAGGTTGTTGGCCGTCTAAGTGGAAAGATGGGGACACATGCAAGGGATATTGTGGAGGGAGAAACAAAAAGATGATTTAGCAGCTGACTGGATACTGGGGGTGGAGTGGGAATTAGAGTGAGGAGTTAAGGATGACACCAAAATTGGGGGACTAGAAGGAGAACAGTGAGCTCAACATTAAGTATTTTGGGAGAAAACAAATGAGTTTTGTTTTTGACATGTGGAATTTGAGATGCTTACAGGACATCCAGTTCAAAATGCCCAACAATGATTTGCTGATGTGGGACTAAACTTCAAAAGACAGACTGGAGCTGAATCTATAGATCTAGGGGTCATCAGCAGAAATGATCATTAAATCCATGGGAGCTGATGTAGTCACCAAGGAAAAGTATAGAGAAGAAGCGAGGTGGGCCCAGAAAAAAGAGCCTTGGGACACAGTGACAATTAGTGAGCATGACATGGGTGATGATTAAGCAAAGGAACTGAGGAATCAGACAGAGGAATAACGTGCAGACCCAGAGAGGAGATAACATCCAGGAGGGGAGGGTTTCAACACTGGCAAATGCTGCTGAGGGATCTAGTATTCAACTGCATGTAATATTAATCATAATGGTGATAGTTCATACTCACATAGTACTTTTATGGTTACAAAAAGGGTTTTGCAGACATTAGCTCATTTTATAGATTTTCAGAGAACAGAAGACAGGAGATTAAGAGATGATAACTCTCTCCAAGTCTCTGAAGGGTTGCCATGTTCTGCTTGGCCCCAGAGATCAGAACTAGGAATAATGGATAAACAACAACAAAGAAGATTTTGGCTTGATATAGAATAAACATTTACTGATAATTAGCATTTATACTCTTTAACCTTCACAAGCAACAGATACACACGTACTTCCTTAGTGGTGGAGCAGAAGGTCTTGTATGCACCAAGTGCTTAAATTTTTCTTGATTCATTGATTAAAGCAATTAAAAATGAAATGGGCTGCTTCACAGTAAGTTTCCAGTGCTGGAAGTCTCCAAGCAGAAGATCATTCATCAAGGACATTATATAGGGCATTCCTGGAATAGGCAGGACTAGATATTTGATTTCCTTAAAAACCTTGTAATAATAAGATAGTCACAGCCCTGTAAGATAGACAATGCAAGTATCATTATATCCAGTTTATAAATGAAGAACCCAAGGTCCTCAGGAAGGAATCCAACTTCATCAACCCACATTTGACTTTGAGAGGACTTAGATTTCCACAAGACTAGACAGTCTGAGCCACTGATGCTATAAGCAATAAAGTTTCATCGAAGCACATTTTATTTCACCCAAAGGAAGGCACCTGACTTGAGTCACTGGGTGAGTGGGGAGGGGATATGAGAAGAAGAAGGAAGATGGGATAAGGTGCCATCAATATCACATTCCCCTGAGGGGCAAGGATACAATGGGATTTCCAGAGAGACCACATACACCTGCAACTCAGATAATGGGGAAGATGGGGCCTTGGGTAAAGTGTTCTTGAGGCTAAGGCAAGAGGAGAAATGAATGAATGAAGATTTAGTAAGCGCTTACTGCATGCAAAGTACTGTGCTGGGCCAAGCACTGAAAAATAAAAATAATCCCTGTTTTCAAGGTGCTCACGTTCTAATGGGGAGGACAACCGTTATGGAAGGTTTCAACTCTAAGTCATTTGGAAAGGAGGGAGACTGAACATCCATGTGGACCCAGTACTCAAGTTATGCTAGGCTCTCATCACTCCTCCTAGTGTGATGTGGGCACTGGGTTGTTCCTCAACATAGGGCAGCTTGGAGATTCAGATAAGAACCAGATATCACAGGATATGATCATAGAATCACATATTTAGAACTGGAAGAGCTGATTTTACAGACGAGGAAAGTGACTAGAGTCCAGAGAACTTAAGACTTGCCCAAGGTTACACAGCTAGTTTGAAGCAGAGACAGGATTCAACCCCAGGTCATTCTGATGCTCTTTTCACTGCACCATGATGCTTTCACATGTTTTATATGAAGAGTTGGGATATTGCTCAGGTTTGTCTGGTTGGTTTCCCACCTCCAATGTCACAAGCAGGGAGGCTCCAAACAGCAGGGTGGAACGGGACATGGAAGTTTCTAGGCATAGAGCTTCAAGACAAGGGGCATAGAGGAGAGAAAGCCTCCCACAAAGGATTAACCCCCCAAAAAGAACCAGAGGGTTTTTCAGGCTACCACAGTCAATTGATGACATAGTGACCAAGCTGCAGCTGAAGCCCAGGTCTCCTGATGTCCTGTCATCACCCTAACTTCAGAATAGGCCATTGCATTCTTCCTGACAAGGCAGGCTGAATCCTGAAACCACATGTCACCAGAGACATGAGCTTTCTTCTCTCTAAGTAGACACCAACACCACACTAAGCCTTTCCTCAAGATGTACATATACACATAGAAGTAATGGGACTTAAAATGGAAGATACATAGTGTCCCAACATTATCAGAATGAAAGACTTTAAAAAAAGAATCTTCAAAATCAAAAGTGGTAAACATAAAATATCCATAATCTCTTCCATATTCTGGGAATGGAAAAGGGAAAATGTGGAGTGAGTGCTATAGCCACATCAAGGCTTGGAGCCACATAACCATGAAATCACAGAACCTTAGTTACAGAAACACAGGCTTAGAGCCACAGTCATAGAATCACAAAGTCATAGAATCTTAAAATCACAGAGCTCTAAAATCTTATAACTATAGTCATAGAATCTTGGAATCATCATATTACAAGATCTTGGAATCAGAGAGTCACAGAACTATAACATCATAGAATTCTAAAAGTAATAGAATTCTAGGGTCCTAGAACCTTAGAATGAGAGTTGAAATCTTGGAATCACAATAATAGAAATTTAGAATCAGGAAAGGAGTTCAAGTCAAAGAATCTTAGAATCATAGTCATAGGGTCATGGAATTATAGTTTTGTAAGCACTAACTTGTACCCAGTACACAAAGTAGGCACTTAAAAGCTTTTAAAAAGAATAAGCAAAAAGGAGGGAGAAAATTTGGAACTAAAACTAAAATAAATTTAAAGAAATAATAGCCATAGACTTAATGAATCTTGGGATCTCAAAATTAGAAACTTTGCCATCATCCACATTTTTTTTTGCTGGTGAGAACATGAAGCCTGAAGGTGGATGAAGGTGAAAGGGGGCTCCTCTGAAGTCACCCAACCTTGTCTGTGTGCTTCCCATCACACCATGCCATTCCTCTCTGTATGTCATCCATCCCACTGCCATTCTAATCCCCTCTGCTCCACTCCTGGAGTCCATTGGTGGCCAAATCAAACTGGTCAAATTTCAAGTCCAGGTGTATAAGCTACAACTAGTGATTTTGAGTTTTTCATTTCATTATCTCACAAAGAGAGGCCAAGTTTAAATGTGGGTTCCTTAGCATAGCTTCCAAAGGAGATATAACAAAAACCCTCCTACCCAAACATGCATCCACATTGTACCAACCTGAGAGTGCTGGGAAGAGTCTCAGGGGAGAAAGAGCTGCTTCCTAAACAGAAGAGAAAAGGGGAGAATGAGAGATTTCTTCACTAGAATCAGAGTCCTTGTCAGCCTTTGAAAACCCATAAGCTTAGGTCTCAGAAATCCTGCATGCTGATGTCTACTAGACAGCCACAGCTTCTTGCAGATGGCCCTTGGGGTAACTCATCAGGTTTACCGACTGATCTCTTCTACCAAGACTGGTTTTGCCTTTTACATGCAGAAAGATATTATTCCTGCTTCCTTCTGGGAGGACAGATTTGAAAACCTTCCTTCAGTCTTTAGGTGTGATGCTAGTACAATCTTTCTTAAAGTCACCTGGAAGATATAGGACTTTCCATGTCCCTTTTCATGGAGAGAAAGTGACCTTCTAATGCTGTGCAGGAGGGCGTATAGCCCCATGTAAAGAATCATGGGCTAACAGTGTCAGAAGGGACCATAAAGCATAGAATATTAGACATGGAAAAGCCTTAAGAATGTAGAAGAGCAGCTAAGTGGTGCCATAGTGAATAGAGCGCCAGGCCTGAAGACTCTGTGTGACCTGGGCAAGTAACCCTGACCCTGTTTGTTTCAGTTTCCTCATCTGTCAAATGAGCTGGAGAAGAAAATGGCAAACCACTCTAGTATATTTGCCAAGAAAACCCTAAATGGGGTCACGAAGAGTCAGACACGACTGAAAAATGACTGAACAACAGCAACAAAAAAGAATGTAGAACATAGGAAGGAACACCGAAGTGAGAGGAAATCTTAAATAAATAAATAAATAAATAAACAAATAAATATTTAAAAACTCTCATTGTATAAAGGGAAAAAATGAAATGCAGCAAAAGAGAGTGTATTAGTATTGCCTAGGGTCACATTGAGAGTTGATGGCAGAGCTGGGACTATGACCAGGTTCTGTCCACTCTGTGAAATGTACTAGGGATATGGAAAGGCAGAAATGCTTCAGAAGCACTTTTGCAGCTTAGATTTTATTTTTTTTTAATCTGAGGCTGCCTCTGCTGCTGTTCATTAGTCGTAGAGCATCACCAACCACTTTGAGAAAGATGAAGACCTTGTACATGATAGGGACACAGCCAGGGGCTAAATAGCAATCCTGCCTTCTAGTGCCTTCTGCTTCTTGGCTGAATGTGCAAATGGGGAGGGAAAAATAAGTTACTGCTTGACTCTGGTGGAGAGTCATGAAAAATACATTAGAAGAACTTCTGGAATGAATTAGGCTTTTTCAGAAATAAATAACAGAAAGCAGGTCTTAAGTGAGGGACAGGAACAGAAATTCAGCAGGATAGAGGTATGAATGCCAACTTTGGAATTCAGTATATTCTAGGCTAGTATCATAGACTAACAAACATAATTGGAGGGGACTTCAGAAGTCATCTAGTCCATCCCCTGCTCAACTTATACATCCTCCCTGCAGCATATCCCACATGATTATCCAGTCTCTGCTTGAAGACCTCTAAGAATGGGGAGCTCACTACCTCTTTCTGGACAACTCTAATCGTGAGAAAGTTCTTTTCCTCACAATAAGTCAACATCTGCCCCCCGAACATCCCCCCATCATTCCTATTATTGCCTTCTAGGTCCAAATGGAACAAGTTGACTCCCTCTTCCAAACTGCAGTCCACATTTTAAAAATCTTGATAAATTTACAGCTCCTACTGAGCATGGCAACTGGGATGGGGAAGGTAAGAGAAGGAAATAAGCATTTATATAGGACTGACTATGGGTCAGACACCTTGCTATGTGTTTTACCAATATTATCTCATCTGATCTTTAAATAGCCCTGCAGGTAGGTGCTGTGAGACCCATTTTACAGTTGAAGAACATGGAAGAAAACAGAGGGTGACTTCAGGGGGGTAGGGAGAGGCAGACAGCTAGGAAGTGTCTAAGGCTAAATTTGAACTCATATCTCCCAGACTCCAGCCCCACTGCTTAGCCACTGTACCACTTAGCTGCCTCCATTTGCTGAAGATGGCAACTGGCATTGGGCAGAGCCTTAAAAATATGTCATCTAACAAGGGTCACCTGAAGGAACTGCCTTCAGGCATTTGTAGGGCTGTCACATGGAAGAAGGATCAGACTAGTTCCCTCTGCCCTAGTTCAGATAGCAGAACTAAGAGTAAAGTGTGAAAATGCCAAGGGACAAGTTCAGATTTGGGATAAGAAAAGCCTTCAAGCTGCCCCCAAGAGGAATGGGCTTTGTCTGCAGAGACAGGGTGACTTCTTGCTGTCTATATTCTACAGGGGCTTCTCTTTCAGGTGTGGCAGGTGGGTGAACTAAATGACCTCTGAGTTCCCCTTTGATTCCTAAATTGTGATTCTGTGGTGTATTTGAAGACAGCTATCATATCTCCCCTAAATCCTCTCCTTTCCAGATTTAATGTCTCCAGGAAAAATACTAGGTAAGGAATCAGAAAAGAATGGAGTACTCTAGTGGAAAAAGTAATGACAAAGAATAAGAAGACTTGGCTTTAAGTCTCACTGTGAGTATCTGTCCCTAAGTACCCACACTACCAATGCATCATTTCCTAGGTCCATGCTGCACCTACTATGTGCAGATCACTGAGCTCAGCATTTAGAGAAATGCAAATTTAGATCACACATGATCCTCAGGGCCATCACAGAGCTTATGGCCAATAGGGAAATAAAACACAAACATCTATGTAACACATGAATCCCCTGACCTACTAACATTACCAAGGCCTCTAGGTTGCATAAGACTAAGCCAACAAGATCAGTCGCCATTTTGCCAAAGTTTGAGCAGAACTCATCAGAGACTATGGCAGAGTTGGGGCAGATTTGCACAGTCGTCCCCAGCTAGCCTTCATTCCCTTACCTACCATAACTTCCATGCTTCCCATCTTCCAGGGATGAAGGTAAAGGGCCTATTTTTTTCCAGTAACCTTCCTTATGAAGGAACTTCACCTCATTCCGAATATATACATCTTAATTTCATTTCTTGACTTTGATTATTTGACCCCTGGCCTTTTCCCTCTCCTACTTCTGTGTATTTTTTTTTTTCTGCTGCTCACCTCCATACCTATAAGACACTCCCTCTCCCTTTTACTTGCTAAAATTCTTCTTTCTACAAAATCCATAGAAATCAAGTGCTAACTATACAAATTTACCCCTGCTCCCCATCCCATCCCCAAGTGAAAGTGGTATCTTTATCCTAAAATCTTCCCATCGCATTTTATCTGGATCTCACCTTTGTCCCTGATACATTACCCCCTGTGTTAGGTACAATGTCACGGATGTGTTTAATGACCCCTAGTAGACTATAAGCTCCTTGTGGACAAGGATTGTGTCAACCTCGTCTTTGAATCTCCAGCCCCAAGCACAGGACTCCGCAAATTGCAGGCACATTGTGCAGGCTTACCCACCTGACTGATTACAAAGTGGTTTTCTAACATGTTTAGGCTCAAATTTAAGTGACAAAGTCTATGTCACAGAGATACAAAGTCATAGAGGTGGGACTGAACTTAAATCATTTAATCACTCTCTATTACATCACTCACGCTCACTGGCACATATCTCAGCAATTTGGAGCAGCTTTATCCTTTGCTGGTTTCATCAAAAGTAATATGATCCTGGGGTAAGGAGAAGAGGAATGGAGGAACATCTGATTATGGCCTGCAGCCACGCCACAGGAGAACTGTCCCTCCCCAGAGTGATTGTCAGGTGATAGCTAAGACCCTGAGAAAACCACAGACTCCCAGAATCGGACAGAACTCGGGCAACATTTAGTCCTACCAATATCTAAGCAGGCACCTCCTTAGTAATACCACTCCACGGCCAGCCAGCCTTCACCTAAAGACCTCTCCACAGTTGAGGAACCACTGCCTCTTGAGGTGATCTAGTCCATTTTGTGATACCTCTAATTGTTAGAAAGTTTTCCCTTCTACCAAATCAAAGTCTGCCTTTTTGCAACTTCTGCCAAATTCTTCCAATTCTGTCCTCTGGTTCCAAGCCAGACAAGTCTGATCCTTTTTCCAGATGATGGCCATTCCAATACCTGAACACAGTTACCATTTCTCACCAAATCCTTCTCTCCTCCAGGCTAAACATACCCAGACCTTTCAACCAATTCTTATGTGACATGGTCTCCAGTCTTTTCACAATCCTGTTTGTCCTTCTTTGGACGTGCCCCCGTTTGTCAATGTCCATATACGTAGAACTTAACACAGGCCTGCATATCTGTACTCTCCATGGCACAGGATAACTGGAAAGAACCTCCCCTACCCAAGTATTTCCTGAACCAGATTAAAACTTAATTGTGAAATATCTAACAAAATAAATAAAAATACAGTAAAACATAGATGGGGGAGAGAATAAGCATTTATATAGTACCTACTAAATGTCAGGCACTGGGCCAAGCACTTTGCAAATATTATATCATTTGATCCTTACAACAACCCTGAGAAGTAGGTACTGTTATTATCATCATTTTATAGTTGAAGAAACTAAGGTAAAAGGAGGCTATGTGACTTGCCCAGGGTCACTTAGCTGGTAAGTATATGAGGCTGGATTTGAACTCAGGTCTTCCTGACTCTAAGCCCAGAAACTTCTATCTACTGTGCCACCTAACTGTCTCAGTAGTGTTACATATTAAAACTAAGTCCTTAATATGGAAATGTGTCTTGCATGACTGCACATGTATAATCTATGTCAAACTGCTCGCCTTTTCAATAAGGGAGAGGGAAGATAAGGAGGGATAGAATTTGGAACTCAAAATTTTTTAAAATGAATGTTAAAAATTGTTTTTATATGTAATCGGGGAAAAAATAAAATATTAAATAAACTTTAAAAAAACTAAGTCAAAACGTGGTCAGCAGGGATCCTTATGTATGGTTTAGTGGCCCTATTTCTATTTGAGTTTGACACCACTGCTCTAGAATTAAGTCATCACATTAATCTGACCTCTAATCTTCCTATTATTGTCTTTTACTCTGGTAACTGGTAACTGTTCTCATGGTCCTATTTCCTTGACCCTGCGGCAATTCATACACA